TGAAGCATCAGATGGGGCACTCTCCATGGGCGAAGACGCCCGCCCAGCTGCTGGGCCACACTCCCTCGGGAGCACCGCGGGAAGGGGGCAGTCAGAAGTGCCACCGCCGGGACCAGAAGGAGAGTGGCAGCTGCGTGAGGCTGAGGAGCCACGTGTTGCAGCAGCCCTGCCGCCCCCGACGTCAGTCACCAGAGGACCCTGGACCCCTGGAGCTCTGATATTTGGGGAGAGGGGTGCACACACCAGCAGGCAAGTTTCTCTGACATGTCACCAACCGCTGGGTCTCTCGTCTTCATCCGCTAGTGAGTACAGGTCTTGTGGAGGCAGGAAAGAAGACGTCCAATCAAAGAGGAAAACGTCTGAGGTCGGCAGGGGACAGTAGACAGGAGGGGGAGCGGGACCGGGCAGCACAGAGCCGAGCCTGCCACCTGCCGGCTGCACAGACACGAGCTGGGAGACCACCCCGCGCTGCTGAGATCCATTTCTGCTCTTCATCAGGCATTCATTTAGCTTTGCTTTTCCTTGTTGTCACAGGAAAGGTCCTTTCAAAAATGCCGAGGAGAACTCATGCCCAAGGGAGCAGGTGCCCCTGCTCCAAGAGGCTCAGAGTCACAGAAAACCCCAGATAGCCGGGCATGGCGGGGCCTGTATCAGACAGAAGTGAGATGAGCAGACGACGGGAACTTGCCCCCCGTGACTAATCACTCTCAGCAGCGATCTGCGGGGACCTGGGCAGGGAGTGTCGAGGTGAACGACAGCAGAACAGCGCGTCAGATGGAGTGGCCTGTTGACTGCCAGCCACCAAATCTGGGTGCCAGCTCAGTGCCCTGAGTGTGGTTCCACGTTTGGCACTTTACTCTGTTAGTCAGGTTCCAGGACGCGCAGGTCCTGGACCCTCTCCTGCCTGAGACAACACCAGCGCAGGCCACCCCATCCCCAGCCCAGCTCCCCGTCCATCCCCTCCTCCTGGGGCAGGACGCCCAGGGCCCTGCAGAGTTACTTCTAAGTCCCTAGTACAGAAACGTTCTCATCGAAGCTTCTTGAGGTCAAGCACCTACTTTCACTCCTTTTACATTCTCTTCAGTGCCAGGAAGAATAATTCTCCCACTGTAGAATCCCGCGAAAGACCAGCTAATTGACAGAAATCGAGGCAAGTTCTCCGGCATGGATTTAAGAAATCTGCGCACTTAGAGCAAAAACAACATGATGGCGGTCATCTGGTTCCCAGTGTTTTGCAAAAGATTATGCCACCTGAAAATAACATGGTGACAGCAATCTGGTTCTCTCTCCATTTTTTTTTAATCCATGAAAGGAAATGATGCCTGGTTGCAGGGGAGCGACATCACTCAGATGTAAGTATACACACAGTCAGTTTAAGGCTGATTTTTAAATTAACTCTCCTCACCGAATAGTCTTTCTGCCAACACTGAACGAAGCTGGCCTTGCACTAGCTATACTCGTTTGTCGTGAGCTCTCCTTTCCATGAATCGTGTGCCACGACTGCAAATGGCACCTGTGATGTGAAAACTCTCTATCTGCATTAGTGCCTCCTCGTCCTGCAGGGAAGAACCCCTCAGCTGGTATCAAAATGCCATGATCTGATGCTTTTACTCTAGAGAAAAAGCTTTTTGTTATGAATGGGTTGCAAAACCCTAAGCACATTGGTTTTGTAATTTGTGAATAGCACTTGTTATTTTGAGATGGTGTTAATATGAGGATACTTCAAAAAGTTTGTGGAAATATGGAAGAAAAACATAATACAAATCTTTCCACGAACTTCCTAAAGACCCCTTGTAGCTTTTTCAACAACAACAACAACAACAACAACAACAAAGCAGTCTCTTCTTTAATATTCTAGATGGGCTTTAAGGGAAATCAGAAATCTGGGAAGCACTTGAGGTGCCACAGGGAAAGAGTACAAGTGAGGTTTATACTTGTTTAATAAATAGATATATGAGAAATTTTATATAATTAAAAGACAGTAACTTACAAAACTTCATATGTGATAAAATCGTGTAATCATTTTCTGTACAGTCTATGAATAGAACGATATTCAGGACAGTAAAGAAGTTAGCACTCAATTTTATATGAACAGGAAATATTGAGTGATGTATTCTTAATTAAAAAGCAACTCCAGATTTTACTCATCTATTTAAGGTATATTGATTCACATAGTGAAAGTAATGGTTTTCTTACCAAATGAACCAACAGTAGAATATTTCATTTATATTCAATATTGAATTTCAACCAATATAAGTTCAGCAATTAACTACAGTGGTACTTGGATTATCTCTCTTTTCTAACTATCCATTTGGTTATTTTTTGTTCATTTGTGTTACTTAGTTTGTCTTAGAAAAAAAATAATGATACTATCAGAATACCCATGGACACTACGATAGTAAAACTCTTTATTAATTTAATAACTAAATATTTAGTGAGTGGCAATGTGCAGATTTTCATAGTACTTTATTTTTCTTTGCAAGAAAGGTCCCTTCTAAAAATGACTGTCACTATTTGCTACAAAGTGTATTTGACCACATGCTTACAATGTGAACCCATTATGTGCACCGTGGTTCATGGCAGTCATACTCTACATATGATTTAGTAACAAAACTAATATTGTATTATTTTGGTATAAACTCATGGGGGAAAGTACTACTTTTAGCTGATATAACAAAACATCAGAAGAAAAAAAGTAATGCATTTCCAATCTGTCCTTTTCCACAAAAGAACATGAAAAAGTACTAATCTCTTTAGACAAATTTTTAAAAATATAGAATAATAAACAAGTCAGAAATTATTTATATTGTGTCGAATAAATGAGCCTATGTCTACTGAAGATGATTATAAGTAAAGTTATCCTTTAAAAATAAAAATTAAATACAAATAAAACGTTCCTGATGTATAAATTTCAATGACAACTGTGGTCTTTAGGTTAATCCTATGATTGCCATCTCATTGTTAAAGGTTAATAAATTAAATGCTATTTTTTCATGTCTTAAAGTGCCAACTAGGTCTTTCTTCAGACCCTCAGAAAGAACACATAGCTGGACGGCTGGTATTAAACACAAATATGATCCAGTAATTTTATGCCCCATGTCTATAGATCGACTCAATGTCATCTCCTTGTATTCTACTCATTTAGGCTGATTTAAATCAAATTATGGTGTAGGGTAACTTACATAGACTGAAATTTCCTGGAACATTATTTTCAGTCTGACTAAATATTAAAAGCCTGCTCAGTTTTTACAGGTCAATATTGGCAGGTCATTAAAAGGCTTGAAAATCTAGTGACAGCAAGTACACGTGAAACACAAAAGTGTACTAAATATGCGCTTCTTCCACAAGCTTATTAGTAACTGAAACTTAATCTGCCAAAACCTGAGATGGTTTTCTACTGACAATTAAATTTGCTTCTTTAAAAAATGTGTATTCCAATGACATTGTGGACAATGATGTTGCATTTGTTTCTAAAATTAAGTTTAGATACCGCCACATTCCTTCTCCCATGAGAAGCTTCTGAGACCCACCAGGAGAACTGAAACACACCACGTCTTTATTATTTCCCCACACACTAATTTGCGTAATGCAGAAATAAATCAAAGAAGAAAACTTTTGAAAAGAGAACAAAATTGAGCACAACTCTGTTTCTAAAGTTCATGAGAGAAGCATAGACGTTACTATCGCTATACGACAGGGCAAACTGGTCCGTAACAGTCATTTCTGAGGCAGAGCATTTTTAATTCTACAAATATGTTTAAATGATCCTGTCATTTGTGCACACGTAGCTGACGGTCAGAACTACAACACGTAGCTGAAGTTCTCCCTTTCAGCTCTCAGAGGCCAACAAGGGTGAAGAGGAATTCTTAGTGGTAACAAGGGGAGATAAGCACTTGAGATACAGGGGCCGGAGGTAGGGGTCACGGAGCCTCGTGGGGCGGAAATCACGCAACAAACACGCGTCGACCCTCTACTGCCCTTTCACGGCCCCGTCGTCACCATGCTGCCTGTGCAGCTGCAAATCGGTGAACATCCCCCCCGCACAGAGTCTGCCTCGGGGCTTTGGGGTAGCTGGTAACATATCAAGACTCAGGAGTGTCCCCTCAAGAGATCTTTTGTGTTTGCTTTGCATTGTTTGGGGTCTTTTTGGTAGCTGGCCAGTATAGGGATCCGAACCCTTGACATCGGTGTTAGAACACTGCACTCTGACCAAATGAGCTCACCGGCCAGCCCCCCATCCTTTTAGGGATGTGTTCATAAGGGACCTAGGTGGGTGAAAAGAGAATCAAACCACCCCGAGTATCCTAAACTTTGATAACCCTTTCGATTTTTTTGTAAGTGGTTATTCAATATACACTTTAAAAGAAAGCACCTAACCACAGACGTGGAAGCATTCCTGTGAAGGCTGCCCTGTGAATGTTTGTTAATCTGTCATGGGAGGCTATCACAGGGCAGTCACGTTGCTACTGATCCTGCGCCTCCTCAGCAGCCGAACTCTTCTAAGCTCACACAGCTGCCTTCTTTCAACGAGAACTTATGGCTTCTTCATATGAGAAGGGAAGGGGAGACACAGAGGCAATCAGCTGAGCGCTTAAACGGAAATTACAGGAAGAATCGGTTTTCACGAAACCAGTCAAAATCACTAACCGAAAATGAAGCAACCCTTTACTTTTCTACAAAAGGTTAGGATAGTCTGTTTTAAAAGGTAAACGTTCTGTCAAACACTTTTTTGTAGCAAACACAATTCACATAATTTGGAAGTTTTTAAACTAAATTAGCCAAGTGTTTTGGCATCTCTGAAACTAGGTCAAAATCAAATATTTATTAACAACCATTTCTGTTTTTATACCTAAAACTATAGTTTGTTTGGCATATACAGATAACTCTTTTGATGACTTTAAAAAATTAGAAATGCCAAATTTGTATTGTACACCTAACCTCGAGGAGATAAAACCATTTTCTGGATATTAAATCATTCGTTACAAAGGGCCCCATCTTACCTGAATTCTTATTGGTTTTGTTCTGCCGACTTTTAACTTGTTCAGTCCAAAGGGTAGGGTAGCGTGACGCGATATCTAGTGAACCAGAACACAACGAGAACCATTTGTAATTCATCAGGAAAGCTCGAGTTCTTCCATTAAAGATCTCAGCAGCTAGCCTAAAAGCCAGAAACTCAAGATAACAGATAAATACACATAGTAGATTTTAAAAGAAGTAGTTAAAATAATTATATGCATAAGACAAAAGGAAATAACAACATACATTTTAAACTATTATTTTTAGCATATTGATTCTTTATCCAAACATGTATTTAAAAGCTATTTGAATCCAGACAGGTCCCACTATGAAAGAACTGGGTATTGAGAAAAAGGCCAAAGAACATAAATACACCCTTGTGTGGTGAAGATCGTTCTTCATATAATATACAGGGTTTTCACTCACTTCAAAAATTTAATACAAAGCACCATGTGTAAAATGTAAGTTTTGCCTAAACCTTTCCAGAAACATATCTTTTTTAGTAATGTTTAACAAATAAAATTGAATAGTGCCTGACAACAGAGGCTCTGATGCAGACCTCTGTGCTCGGACGCCCCATTGATGAGTGTCATCCATGTGACCGTGGACAGACGACCTCAGCATCCGCATCTGTGGGACGGCATTCTGAGCACTCAGCGAATTAGTGCATGTGCGCACATGGCCGAGCACTTAGTGCCGTTGCGAAGCACGATGAAATTTTACAATTTAATCTTTGATTTATTTATACTGTTCATTCTCTGTATTTTGTCTTGAAATTCTTAAGGCATCTGATGTGAGAATTTGTTATATATATGGCAAATACCTAGGACAATTTATTAAAGGTAAATATAGGAAATTTATCCTTGTCGTGATGACTTATAAAAATGTGAGATATGAACAGGAAAACTGGCATACTTTATTGCACCTTTTGAAATAAGCATTTTATAATATCCAAACCTGAAAAATTTTGACTCATGAATTTTGATTTAAAAACCAAACCCTCAGCGTTCTGCTACATGAAAGCACGTGGCAATACTTAAAAAACCCCTCGCTCCAAAGTCAGAAGAAAAACAGCGGGTGCCCTCATGCCGCTGGAAGGGGCCACGTGCTCCCCGTCCCACTGCCCGACCACCTGCCGCCCTCCGCAGCCACGCCCTTGCCCTTGCCACCCCACTTATGCTCACCTTCCTCATCTCCTTGAGGCTGAGTCTCCAGCGCTGGGGCCACGGCATCATCTGAATTCAGAACGGAAAAGATTTGCAAGGAGACTACAATCGTGAGAGTAAGTTAAGTAAGTGCACAGACCGACGGATGCCAGGACTCCCATGCAGCCCCGCCATCACCCAGACACCACCCCGTAACCCACACAGTGAACGGGCACTCCTATGAGCTGCTCCCTTAAAACCCTGCTGGTGGCCAAAACCAAAGTTCCCTGAGCCAGATGTTCAATGTGGCTCTAAACTACTGGAGCCTATGGTGGGCCAAAGGATGACGGGGGGGGGGGGTGTGAGAGAAATAATATGGATGGGAAAGGAAGCTCAAGTCAGAAAAGTCACGAGTTCAGGTCCCTAGATGTTGTAAGAGAAATCGGCGGGGATGGGAGGACTCCATTGTGTGCAAGACATGCATTTCAAATGCGCAGTCTTTAATCAACTGAAAAGCACACAGAGGGCTCCCTGGTACACTGTCAGGTGAAGCACTCCAGGAGCCACAGGACGGCAGGTGACCAGGCTCTGAGGTCCTTCTCCAGAATCTGGGCCTAGCCCGGAGGCTGTTACAAGGCACCAGTGAGGACTCCCAAGCGAACCCCTAATCTTTCACCCAAGCTTGTTCATGCAACTTTGTTAGATTATAATTTCAGGACCAAAAATACAAGAAAGTAGGGTGGAGATGAGGGCTGGCCACAGGGCTTATCTAATTAACCGTCATTCATTACTTTCCCCGTGGTCTGTAGAATAAAAATGAAGTTTCTCATAAGGTTTTTAGGGGAAAAACCCAAAAGGATTTTTTTAAAAACTGTCACATTGAACGACCTCCTGAAAAAATTTGCTGTCAAAATACTGACAAAAATGTAGCACCACTTATTTGAAATATTTAAGTGCAACATTGACAGTAATAATCAACCAGGAGTATTTTGCTGTTGAATAGTTTGGAATCTTCTTCCAAAAAAATTAAAATGAAATGAGGAACACATTTCAAACATGTTTAACATATTAAGAGTCTTAAAAGAACACCACCCAATGCATTATTACTGGTGTGCGTTTTTGCTGAGGCCTGAGCAGGTCGCCAATCTGGAGCTTCCAGCCCACTCCCCAAGTCAGCAGGTCTTGACTGTGTGTAAACCCGGCCTGGCTAACCATGGGGACAGGCTCCAGAGGACAAGGGTGGTGATGGCCTGTGGCTGCCCCTCCCCCCAGCCCAGCTCCAGCTCCAGAGGCTGTTCCATTCTCTGCCTGTGTCCGTCCCTCCCTCCCTTACCGTGACCATTGTCACCTCCACGGCCCTGTGCCCTGAACAGCTCTATCCCAACATACACCCAGTGCAGCTACTGAACTCAGCCTTAAGGGAATGAAACAAAAGCCACGCAGAGCTGTGTTTTTCAATTCCCATCTATCAGAGTTTGTTAAAGTTCCCGTTTTTATCTTTAAACCAGCTTTGTTGCTTAATTTCAGGTATCCCCCTGCTATGCACACGTCTGCGGATCAAGGGGGTTCCAGTAGTGGACACATGTCCTTTCCTTAGATTCATTTCTGTGTCCATATACCAATTCCCCACAGAATTTCTTTACACGGTGGGTTCAATATGCATCACAATGAACAGGAGTAGGTCGATATTTAGTCATCTCCCAGTTTGTACATATTCCATGAATATATCTTAAATATACAGACATCTTTCTACAAATTCTTTCAGGGAAGGGGCACAGTTTTAATACATGCTTAAGGAATTGGGTTGAACATAACTCAGGTCTATTAGTCTCTCTATATTACTTCCGTTTGTTTCTGGTCCATTGTATTATAACCCACTTCAGAAAAAAGAAAAGTGCCCAAGGTTTTGGTACTATAGCATAATTTTGATTCATCTTGTAAATAACTTTTAACTTTAAAAGTGGGTGTAAAAGCAGAAATGTGTCCTTGGGACTAAAGTGTGATAACTGAGGAACAGGCCCAGAGAGCAGGGTGAGGTCTTTCCTGGGAGCTCCTCACAGGCACGTATGTTACAGCTGCTGGAAAATGACTTTCAGGGAAATGGTGAACTGTTCCATCTGGTTCTTGTTTTTACCATTCTCAGAGGTAGTGATTGCTGTATGTGGAAAAAGTATCATTCCTTCTCCTGAAGGAGGGCGAGACGTCTTTGTCAGGGTCCTCAGTGATTGCTATAATTTACTATCTCACGTGGAGCCAAATTACTGAACCTTGGAGTTCTCTCCACGGGTACCGACCCAGATTCTCCAGGTGGTACCTAACGATATCTACAGGTGGTCCCAACACAAGCCAAGTCTAAGAAACCCTGATCAGGACCGACCCGATGGGTTTCCAGCGAGTACATGCCCAGCACTTAGCGAGGTAACTGGCAGTAGTAAGGGCCGAGTCACTGTTTGTTGAATGAATAAAGAGCTAACAAACTGTTTCACCTCTCCTTTCATTACTAGGGTATTTTCACTTGAGAGATCATTTTAAGACATAGATATTGTTAGATGTCACATGTCATCATGGAAATTCATTTTAGGATAGTTACCTGTTTGTCCTGCTCCTTCTCGTTGGGGTAACTTTTCATTTATGGAACCTAAAAGAGTAAAATAAGGAATGAAATTATTTTTGACCACCAAATGGTCAAAATTATGCAAACATTTCATTCCATTTTAATTAATTCACAGTGCTTTGGCACTTTCTAGATAAATTCTGCAAGCTTTCTGATACCCTGAGGTGACATTGTCACCTAAAGTCATAGGCCCTAAACTAGCAACCAACAGGTTAGTTTTGACTTCTGGTACCAAGTAGTTGAACATGAATGTGAGACCCTTTCACCCAATATATCATAATTTCTTCACCTGAAAAATGCCATAATAACCTTCTTAACATTACTATAATGGGGTGCTGACGTGAATTAGGTAAAAAAAGGAGATGTTTCTTAAAATAATAAAAAGTTATCCAACTAAGTATAATTAAATGATAATTACTATGCAACTAAAGATATGCAACTGAAGAGAATTAAAAACCCTGATTTTAGCTTGATTCCAATTCATAGAGAGGAAAATTGAGGAACTGTCTTTTTATAGAGGAGTATGCAAAATATACTAAGTAATTTGTGACCAAGTAATTTGTGATGAAAATTTTAACATTTATATGATACTGAAAGATTTATAACACAAATATGACGCAGTGTTCTTTTCCAATAGATTGAAATGGCTGTATCAAATTTTTTCCCCTTAATCATTATTACAACCACTCAGAATAATAATAACAATAATAAAATAGTTCTGTTCAGGGCGTTTATCTACTGATTCGGTTCAGAATGTTCTGTTAAGAATTAATCTGGAATTACCGTAGTCATATGCCAGATAACGTGCCTCAGCAAAAACCTCTCAGAGCTTGAAATTTATTGTTTGTTTTTCCAGTTTTGAATATGACATCGAAACACAGACTACCATTTACATTAGAGATACAAACTTTATCATGTTTTTGAGAATGTTGAGAAACACTTTGGAATTGTGACAGTGATGTAGTGAGAAACGTGCAGCGATTCATGGTGGCATAGGACCGCGGATGGCCCAGGAAGCCTCAGAGCGTCCCGGACGCCACCACCTCCAGAGCTGACGGAAGTCACACTAACGTGGCAGTGCTCAGGTACTCACCCAACTCAAGCCAGCAGTTTTTCTTAAAGGGGAAAAATACAGCCATTCTGAAGCTCTCCTTTTCCACGGGGACATTCACAGGCAACACCAGCTTCAGGGAAGCTGGACGGGGTTCACTCAGCAATGTCCTCAGCGGTTTCTGATCCAGCACCCGCTGGCCCCAGTCACAATGCTGGACACAGCAGTCCTCCCCCACCCCTGCCGCATATCCGTGAATTAACTGAGGAATGCATGTTTGGAAATCTCATGTTGCTGAAGGGTAGAAAGCAGCACGTTCTCCTGGTTCATCGCTTTGAACACATGGCTAGGTGCTTGCTAAATCCAGCCATTTCATTATTTCCCAGCTGCAACAGTTACCATCTGGTGAAATGTTACATCGTTTCCAGGCATCAAAACACAGGATTTTACTTCTAGTGAGAACCCCCAGGATACAACCCTGGCCTCGCTGGGTGGCCTTGTTTCGGAACCTACGTTTCTTGTTTCTCCCTTTTGTACCACCTCTTTACAAATCCAGATTTCTTAAAGAGCTTAAGTCCCTTAGTCACCGGTTTATTTTTATCATGTGTTCTTGCAATGAGTCAAAAAAACATTTTCTACTTTTGACTGGAAATGATAATAATTCCATAACATTTCTGAAAACAGCTACGCAGGTTTTAGTATTGTGAGTGCAATGTAAATATGCTAAATAATAATAATACTACCCCTGCGAGAGAACTTCTGAATTGAATTAAGATAATATTTTATAATCTGAAGGACAGGACAGTATAAAGTGCAGATCTGAAATGTGGCTCGGGGCTGAGATCAGAGCACAGCGTTTAAAAGTCGTCCACCTCCGCCCGCAGGCAGATTTCTTCTCTGAGCCAACAAACGCTGTGACTGGCCTAGCAGGCCCCTAAATTCAATCAGTATTTTCTTAAATAAATCTATACAAAAGTAATTCCATCTTGTTCTTCATACGTAAGACGTAATTTTAAAACAGAACCAAGTGTCCCCTGATAACCTGCTACGTGACTCTAACATTGTGCAACCCAAACTTAGGAGGAGGACCTGAGGGAGCACTTATTTCATCTTCCAGTGCCTCAGGACAGAGGACAGACTCCCCCAAATGTTCCTGCCCCAGGATTCCCTGTCCTCAGCGACTTGGAAAACAGCTCAACGTTGTCACTCTCCATGTGACAATCCAGCTATGAGAGCAGATGTGAATCAGAGCCAGAAGAGCAGTTCTCAACTCCTTCTCTCTGTCTTTCTGAAGACAAGGACTCACCAAGCGTCCAAGGCTCTGTCGCCTGTGAGCTTCTAGAACGCAGGTGTGAGCTGCACTGTGTAGACAAGCGATGGCTTTGAGAGCTGGGGCGCTGGCTACGCATTCAGGTTCCCACCGTCGTGCCAGACATGAGCACTGCTAAACGATGCTCTCAGACTCGGGCCCCAAAGAACACATTGGAATCTCTTCCATTGTGAGATCTCATCCCATTTAAATGCTGTTTTTAAAGGGGTGGCATTTTTAGCAATTAGGGTATGTATTTCTGGTGGAGGAAACCACAAAATACAATGTGAGGGAAACGGCTATGGTTTAGGGGAGGAATAATGAGCCATTAAGGCTTGTAGTTCTGAGCACTTGGTTCATATCCAGCTGTGCTCAGCAATAACAACTCGACGCCAAAACGGCCCAGCGGAGGGTGCGGTGTTTTGCTGAAAGAGTTGGTGGTCTGAGGCGAGCTCCTTTCACAAGTACTAACTGCACTTCAGAAACAAACACGGGGAGGAAGGTCTGCGACACAGGAGGCTGGAGGGGAGGCGCAGGCTGTAACGGGGTCAGCTCTCTGCAGGCGGGAGCACAGTTCAGCACGCCACGGGGGGGTTGCCCTTTCTGGGAACCGCACACCCCGGGGCAGATTCACAACATCAGATGACTTTGCTTCAGGGGCGAGAAAAGAGGGAGAGAGACAGGAAAATGGGGGGAAAAGGAACAGCGCGGGCCATGTCCTTGCTGTCTCGACAAGCATTCTCTCTGTAACTGGGTTTTTCATCTTCTAGTCAGGACAGTGTGAGGGCGACAGGAAAGATGTGCCAATATACAAAGAGGTGGCGCTGCAGGGACAGGACAGCACTGGCAGCAGGACAAACATCGCCACTCCCAGCTCTGTGACCCGCCTGGGCCACATCCTCACCTCTGACACCTCAGCTTCCTTGTCCATGACACCCACCGCCTGTGGCTGCACGGAGCATGCAGTGAGTGCTCCCGCAAAGGCTCCCTCTTCACATGTGTATTTTATATGTGGAGGCTGGACAGAGCCTGCTCAAGGGGGCAAAGCTCTCTCCACTCAACCAAGTGGACAAAACCACGGCCGGAACGGGTGGGGCACCGCAGGCCTGCGTCTCCCCAGAGCCTGGCGGTCCTCACTTTTCATTCATTCATTCATTCATTCATTCATTCACTCACTCGCCCATTCAAATCATCCATTACGTGCCCACAGACAGTGCAGGGATGCGACACCAAAGAGTTGTCTAGTTTGGGGAGATAGGCATTAAATAGAAATTATTCAAATAATTTATATTATATTTGCATACACAGGTAATGTCTGTATAGGTCTTTCCATGTGTTGGCCACTCTCTAAGTATTTCACATAATTCAAGTCATTTAATTTAATGCTGACCACAATCCTATGATGTGTGCCCATTATACAGATGAGGGAACGGAGTCCCAGGTAGGTAAGTAACAGGCTCAAGACTACTTAGTCAGTGGGTAGCAGAGCCAGGGTCCACGTCTGTGTTTTTAGCCCTTGGGGAGCATTCAGAGAGGCCCCTGTGAGGAAGATGGAAGGCCTGAGGAGACAGAAAGAAGTGGGCAGTGGAGGCCATGTAGAGAGAAGGACACGGCCCATCCAAGGACAGAGCCCACGGCCCCCTCCCGGCTTCTGACACCCCTCTGCAGACTTCCTCTCCATCTGTGCAGGACGTTTCCATTGCTCTGACATGGAGCCCATGTGCAGAAGCCTGAGTGAGTCTCACCATCTGACCTGAATGCCCGAGTGTGTGGAACCATGAAGATTCGTGGAGCTCTGACTTTGGACACTCTTGCCCATCCCTGTTGTGAGCAGACCCAAGGGAGGAAGAAAAGAGGCCAAAAAGGGTCAGGTGGCACATGACATGGGAAGACAGAGAGGGATGAGCACAAACGGCCAGGGTAAAGAGGCTCTGTTGCACTCAGAGCTCATGAAAACCAGCTGACCCCGTGCATCACTCCGTCAAAGGGCAGCCCTGAAACGGTGCCAGCAGGAATCCTGTGGGAGAAGCCATTAAGCAGAGTGGCAGCTGTTTGGGTCTCTATATTTTAATAAGTCAATATGGCAGGACGCCCACCCACATTACCTCCAAAGGTTGTTGCGAGAAGTAACTCAATAATGTTTGTGTCAAAGCAGTTTAGAAAGTAGAAAGTCCAGAGTGTGACATGGACCATGCCCATCTCATTCCACAGGTCCCTGTGACTGTGGGCACTGGCCCCTCCTGCTGCGGCTCTAATGTCCTTACTGATGGGCGTTCTTCATTAGTGCACATGCAAGACCAGTGCCTGTGTCCAATAAATGTGTACAGTCTTCACCAAGGCAAGGTGGGAGACTGCAGCTTGGTGCTGGCAGATCTGGATTCAAAACTAACTCCACGTCCACTCTGGACACTGTGATGTTTCTGGTACTGGTAGGTGGCGTGGAGTCAGCTTTAATGAATGACACATCTTTCATGGATTTTTAAGGATATAAGGGAAAGAAGTAGGTAAGAAATGGGTTTTTATACATAATTGCTTTCTGATCATAGATGTTTAAATGTTCTGACTCAGGGATATATGAAAAACAGGGAGTAACTAGAGAAGCCTCTACATTTTTTAATCTTATGCTTCAATTGACGTGAAGAGCAAGACGGGAAGCACAGGCAT